TCAGAGCAAAGTATGACATTGAATTTTTCAGGAGTGCTTTAATATGGCTCAATTAGATATGGCAAACTTTGACATAAGAGTATGTGAATTGTCAGTAAGCATGATCTGAAGCCTGGCATTGCAACACATGCACTGTTCTACAAATGTTGCAGTTATCGGCTAAAACCTGACTACAGATTGCACTAAGTCCTTTTTTGCTCCCCATGTTGTAATTTTATTTGTTTGTCTTTAAGGCAAGGCTAGATAAATATTTGAACAGTAAAGGAATTAAGGGTTATGGTGAGTGGGCAGGTAAGTGGAGCTGAGTCTCAAAAAGATCAGCCATGATCTTATTAAATGGCGGGGCAGGCTCAAGGGGCCAGATGGCCTACTCCTGCTCCTAGTTCTTATGTTCTTATGTTCTAAAACCTAATCACATAAGAAGGTCTGTTTAAATCTTTCAAACACTAAAATGCCGCTTCTGTGTGCAGCATCTCAATTACAGAATATTTTTGAATTTGAGTTTCAAAACATATAATATTTATTATCCTAACAAATGCTAAGCTAAACCGATTGACAATTAAACTTAGATAATTATTGTGTTTTAGGTTTCATCTCATAGCATCACAACGGTACAGGACAGAACGTTCTGTTTGAGCATAACTTCAAGAAACTGGAATTCCTTTTTTGTGCCAAACAATTTTCTCTCAACAGATTCTTAAAAAGTTTAGGAAGCTAGAGTCGGTCAATCGGGGACTGTTTTTGGTATGTCCTTTGGGCCTGCTGAAGGCTTCTTCCCAAAAGTTTGTATCACCCTCCCTTCAGCACCCGCCCCCTCCACTGCAGACCATACTAGCATCCCATTCCTAAACCTTCTCACCAGCTCTTCATTGAATACCCTCAATAAAACTATCAATCCAGCCTCCATAACTTGCTGCCTCATAGCACCAGGGACCCGGTTCAATTCCACTCTCAGACGACTGTCTGTGTGGAGTTTGCACATTCTCCCTGGGTCTGCGTGGGTTTCCTCCAGGTGCCCTGGTTTCCTTCCACAGTCCAAAGATGTGCAGGCTAGGTGGATTGGCCGTGCTAAATTGCCCATAGTATTCAGAGATGATTGGTATAGGGGGTGGGTTCTGGGTGGGTGCTCTGAGGGTCGGTGTGGACTTGTTGGGTTGAAGGGCCTGTTTCCACACTGTGGGGATTCTATGATTCTTAACTTCTTCTGCTTCAGGACTGTCTACCAATCCAGTGAGATTTCTATATTGCTCCATTTATGAGAGGCTTTTCTTTTAACACTTTTCTCAGAAACATGAGTAGATACAAGGACAGGCTGATATGAAGCGATCAACCAGCTCCATCCCTGGCCTCTTTATTTTCCCTCCATTGCAACCTATCTTTCCCAAAGTCAGGGTCATCACTCCCCTGTACATTTCCTGCCCTGATCCCAGTCAGCTGCAATTGCACACTGCCCCCTCCATACATCCTCACTGTGCAGAAATAAGTGCAGCATTTTGCGTTTTGAAGTTAAAGTGTGATGTCAAGCCTGTTGGGTGTTGATATATCTGTCATTGTTCGAGTTGAATTAACTTATGCAATGACATACTTTTCAGCTCATTCTCTATGCATGCATGATGTGATACAAGTTACTCAGAGAATTGTGTGTTTATTGAGACAGACGTTCTTGCCACTGGCGGGTCCCTTCTTGGCAGGAAGGAATTACGATCGTATTTAAATGCCAGCTGGATTGCTCTGCAGACAGTACAAGCCAAGAACTTCCCATCAACCTGTGCAGCTCAGTCCTAGAAGTTTAGGATTAACAAGGAATCTCTGACGGTGTCCTCACCCACTGCCAGCTTACTGACACAGCCACACAGACACTGCTAAACAGGGTCTCTGACAGAGTCTAACCAGGCTGTGGAACCTGAAGGCCATTCCATTCAACCTGTCCACCCTTGGCAGAGATTGCAGTGCGGTTCAGGGCCGCTGGCTCCCACAAAAGGGATGACAGACAGTGCAGGGAAAGATCAATGACTGTCTGCATTCCACAAGGGTAAATGGCACCAGCTTCTCGCTCTGTTAACTCACACACATACGGCCACCACTCTGTCTATCTCTCCCGCTGCACACGCATAGTGCAAAAACACATGCAATACTCAGCACACATGCATGGATTTTCTTCACATCCAACTCAACCTCGTAAATTACCAACCCAGTCCTTCCCTCTACACTTTACTCACTCACTGGGTGTACTTCACCACTTTACATGCTCGCAACCTGTTCCTGCACACATCCCCATCACACTCGAGTCCTTCTCTTTACCTCAATGCAGGAGAAACTGGCCCCTAACCGAGATGAGAGCGCTAAAATCCAGACAGGCAGCTGGATAGCAGAAGCATACCAACTTTGGAGTAAAGAGTTAGCCTGGGAATCTCGGGACTGTTCCTGTGGTGATAGAGAGACACAAGTGGGCCAACAACCCAAGAAGCATGATTGAGCTCTGTTTTTCTCAGATGTGCAGGAAGATAAGCGCTTAGATCTGTACCTTCGCCGTCTCATTGTTTGCCTTCTTTTCCTCAGGCACTAGCGAAATGTAAGTTTTCACATTGAAAAGAGACACCAGCGAGAGCCCCTACGTGCCAGCAAGTGAACCTGCGAACCCTCACTGACAGGATATACCCCTGCACCCTCCATCAGCACACAAACAGACAGCAATCTTGACAGGTACCTTGCTGGAGTAGACTGGAGGACACACTTCAGTGAGCACTTCATGGACACGCGCTGGAGATGAGACATTTGCTCAGGCCCTGAAGCATTATTGTTAAGCTGCAGTCTGAGGCAGGAGTGCCAGAAGCCCTCAGTAGGTGTCTGAAACATAAGGTGGAGATGTCTGTCCATATTCTCCCTTCAGTGGTGGCTCCAACTTGTGAGCAGCTGGTATCCTCCTTGGAAAGGGAATAGTGGCCTTGGACTCACAGATCCAGTACAGCAATTGGTCAGTGTTAGCTGTGTGCTTACTACTGCACTCCATTGCTCTACATTTGGGTGGGCAGCATCAAAGGCAAGGAGAGAAGGGGGACAAGGTGCTAACACCACACTCCAGCTGGTTCACCTTCTCCAGGAGACAGGGTGGTGCCTGTAGGCAAACAAACGGAGGAGCATCAAAAGATTGGCACCCTGGGATGGTCATCTCAGGGCACTTCAAGGGGTATCCTGCCCCTGTGCCTTTCTCCCTCTGCCCATCACCCCATTATCCCCAGCAGCTAAAACCATGAAGACTGAGCCAGCACCTGGAGACTCTCAGCAGGCCAGGCCCTCCATATGCAAAGGCTCCAGGGGATACCTACACCAGTCTTTGAGGTCACCAGGAGTACCACTCAGAAGGCTCTGTCCACCCATGCTGCAGAAGAAGAGCCTGCATCCAGAGATGGTGAAAGGGAAAGCAGGAAGAATACCAGTCTGAGCACAAATCGGTGATGTAGGTGTTTAACCAGCGTAAATAATCTGCACTTTTCCAAATGGGTTTAAATTATCTGAGGTGAACAATCATAGCATCTTCAACCAGCGAAAACACACACTGCCTTGTAATTAGCTCACTTTGGTAGCTCTGTCATGAACACCAAGGTGGGTGACAGAAGATAGCCTCATGTGTCAGTGAACGACACACAGTGAACAATAAGTTGGACATTGAAGTCAAGTGCTGCAGATTATCCTGGAGAGACTAAGAGTGACGCTAAGGTCTAAGGAAGGAGCCAGCATTGATGGGTCACACTGCTGCCTAAGCCTGTGCATTAAAGCCCACAGGTGAATTTGATGCAGTGCCATTGCCCAGTTGGGTGGGACGATAATCCACAGAAATACGATTGTTCATTAAGATGAAGCTGCCGACTGCAGCCGTTGTGGTTCCACCAAAACAGAAGAGAAGGAACACTGCTGTGACAGCTCTGTAGTCATCAAGACTGGAGACAGAGGACCCAACTGGACAGGTGCCACTTGGTTTATACAGTCAAGGTTTTGAAGCATCAAGTATTTCAATGGGACAGAGTTTAATTGGGAAGTTCAAAGCAGGGTAATTAATGAGATGTAAATGTATCTATCTAGGATCCTTGGTACCTGGTGGTGAGAATATGATCTTGCCGTCTAAGGAGAGAGGACTTTGTTGCAGCAGTTTAACGCTACAGAGAGAAGCTGATCTTTGAACTCTTGCCCAATTCATTGCAGTGAGGGGATAATGTTGCCGTAGACTTGTCAGATTATCTCACACTTTCTCCCAGTGCATGTTAGGTCTTCAATGCAAGGGGTATCTTAGTAAAACCCCTGTCTCTCCTGCCTGTTATAATCTTCAGGGCTGTTTGGTGATATAAGTGAGGTATGGAACAAAAGTGCTTTGCTCTTTAACACAAAAGGAGATTTGACATGATATCTCAGGTCCTGCAATTTGCCTCCATAAGTTTCTCACATCATAGTCCCAGGTCCTGACTCTGCCAGGAATTCTAGGAGGCTCAAATTTGTTGAATGAGGCAAAGGAATGTAATGATACATCTAACTATTTAAAAGAGGCCCTGGACATAAAGGCACAAGGACAAAGGAATGAGAAAAAAGGTACCTGAATAGTGGGCAAAGTGAGAGTTGAAAAGATTACAAAAAGGTAGGGTTACTTCCATTGCTTTTACCCGGCTTTCACGGGCTAGTAATGACTGCAAAATAAGGTTGGTATCTGTTTGGAAAAAAGGCAATGGTCTCTTAGAGTTTTTACTGGCTGGCTGTGGTCATTTGACCTCTGCCTTTGCTGTAATGCCTTTAGATGCAGTTTGTGGGAGCCAATAAACACAAAGATCACTTGTAACAGTATTTTTACAGTTTGGTTAATAATGCAGTTGATTTCATTTCAAAACCATTTAAGGTTAATCGCGACTGTTCAAAAACCTGGTGCCATATTTGAACCAGAGATAAACTTCTTACTGCATATTTAAACCATCATTATGACCAGCTACTCGTAACTCTAACTTTACCCTATTTACCTGTATCTGCTGCTGCTCAAACATACATTCAAGCCTTGGTTTTGCCTCTCAGCTTGACCACATCAGCATATTTCTGTCCAGCCTCCCACATTGTAATCACTTTATACTTCAGGTCATTCAAAATTCTGCTGCCAATATCCTAACTCACACCATGTCCTGTTTACTCATCACTTTTGTGCTCAATGATTTACATTAGCTCCAGTTAAACAATGTCTCAACTTTAGAATTTCCATCCTTGTTTTCAAATGGCTCACTTGTTTCACACCCCACCCTTGTAATCAGCTAGTGCCCTACAACCCTCTGAGTCAGAGTCATTGAGGCCTTACATCACACAATACCAGTTAAAGTCCAACAACCCTAAAACTGGCTGTTTCTTGTTGACTCTCTAATCAGTTAGGAAGGAGACTACTGATTAAAATGCAAAATCCAGATTCTTTTCAAGTCATTGTCCCAATAATGAAAGGTTTTATCAATGCATACAAGAGGTGACATCTCAGCTCAGACAATGCACTTTAGGTGTGAGGTCTTGCTTAGAATCTATGTTTGAAACAGGGGTCAGGTTTTATTTGAGCACAACAGAATGTATTTGCAACTACACAAACATCTTGGATGAAATAATTCGTGTGTGTGTGTGTGTGTTTGTGTGTGTGTGCGCGTGTGTGTCTATGTGTGTGTGCGTGTCTATGTGTGCGTCTGTGTATGTGTGTGTCTGCACCTGCGTGTGTGTGCACATGTATGTGGGAGTATACGGTGTGGTGGGGTCACCTGTCAGGCAACATGAACCCAAGATCACGATTGAGGCCGTCCTCAAAGGTGCCAAATTGTCTATTAGCCTCTGCTCAGCAATTTTGCGCTGTTAGTATCTCAAAGTCCTCCTTGGAGGATGCTTACCCAAAGATCAGAGGCTGAATGCCCTTGACCTCTGAAACGTTTCCTGACTGGGAGAGAGCACCCCTGCCCAGTGATTGTTAGATGGTGTCCATTCATCCGTTGTCATAGCATCTGCATGGTCTCACCAATATACCATACCTCGGGGCATCCTTGCCTGCATCATATGAGATAGACAACATTGGCCGAATCACATGAGTATCTGCTGTGTACGTGGTGGGTGGTGTTCCCATGTGTGACGGTAGTGTCCATGGCGATGATCTGACATGTCTTGCAGAGATTGCCATGACAGGGTTGTGTAGTGTTGTGGTCGATGTTGTCCTGAAGGCTGGGTAGTTTGCTGTGAACAATGGTCTGTTTAAGGTGTGTGTATGAGTGTTGTTTGAAGGTGAGAAGTGGAGGTGTAGGGAAGATGGTGGCGAGGTGCTCATCATCATCGGTAATGTGTTAAATTAATGGGCATCACCTAACAATCACTGGACAGGGGTGCTCCCTCCCAGGGGTGGACACTTTGAGATACACAGCAATGCAAAATCGCTGAGCAGAGGCTAATAGCCAAGTTCAGTAACCATGAGAACGGCCTCAATTGTGATCTTGCGTTCATATACAGGTGACCCCACCACACTATACACTCACGCACACATACACACACACACACATGCACACACACACACACATCCATACACACACACACACACACATGCACACACACGCACACACTCACACATGCACACAAACACACATGCATACACACACACACATGCACACACACACATGCACACACACACACATGCATGCACACACACACACACATGCACACACACGCACACACTCACACATGCATACACACACACACACATGCACACACACGCACACGCACACACACGCACACACTCACACATGCACACGCACACACACACACACATGCACACGCACATGCTCACACACACACGGACACACACCCACACGGACACAGACATGCACATGCACAAGCGCAGACACGCACATAAATTATTTCATCCAAGATGTTCGTGTAGTTGCAGATACATTCCGTTTTGCTCAAAAAACAAACCTGACCCCAGTTTAAAATATAGACAGATATAAGACTTCACACCTAAAATGCATTGTCTGACCTGAGATACACCTCTTGTAAACATTGATAAAAACTTTAATTATTTTGAGACAATGACTTGAAAAGAATCTGGATTTTGGGTTTTAATTAGTAGATTCCTTCCGAACTGAATAAAGATTCAACAAGAGGCAGCCAGTTTTAGGGCTGTCGCCTTTCTGCTAATAAATTCTGTGTCTTATACCCTCTCTCACACTACGCCTGAGGAAGGAGCTGAGCTTTGAAAGCTTGCACTTTCAAATAAACCTGTTGGACTATAACTAGTATTGTGTGATTTTTGACCTTGTCCACACCAATCCAACACCGGCATCTCCACATCATCAAGGTCTCACGCACCGAAGAAGGTATTGAGTCTGTGCTTGTGAAAAACAACCATCTAATTATTCTAATCTCTACATGTCTACTAATCTCTACTTGAGATAGCATGGCAGTAATGGAGACATGGTGGCTCATTGGTTAGCACTGCTGCCTCACTGCACAAGAGACTTGGATTTGAATCCACCCTTGGGTGACTGTCTATATGGAATTTGCACATTCTCCCTGTGTCTACCTGGGTTTTTTCCCCACAGTCCAAAGATGTGCAGGTTAGGTGGGTTGGCCATGCTAAATTGTCCATAGTGTACAAGGCTGCGCTGGCAAGGTGTATTAGCCATGGGAAATGGGTCTGGGAGGGACGCTCTTTGGAGGGTTGGTTTGGACTCAGTGGGCTGAATGGCCTCCTTCCACACTGTAAGGATTCCAAATCTGAGATCCCCTAATCCTGGCCTCATGATCAAACCTGATTTTAAACACTCCATCTCCAGGTGTAGCCAAGGCCTGAAACTCTGAAATTCTTTTCTTAAACCTTTGTCTCTATACCTGAAAAAAAAAGATGGTCATTAAAACCTATCTCTTTATTCATGCTTTTGGTTTTCAGTGTTAATTGCTCAACATCATATTTCCATTATGAGGAATCACACTGCCTCTCTGACATTTGAGGGGATTTCCCAGTGGGACAACCTGCAAAAGCCTGGACTCTACCATTCCCATTTTGATTGGGTCAAGTACAGAGCTGCTATTTTCTGCAGTGGTCTTGAGCCGAGGTGATGTAGATTGGTCTTTCCATGGGAATTGAGAATGGTTTTGTTGGGTTTGTGGAGGAGCAGAATCAGTGCAGTGACCCTGAAGCAGAAGGTTGCTGAGTTCTCAACTGTTCAGGTGTCTTCCATCCTTAAAATGTTCTCACCAGTGAAATAAAGAGTCACTGGTACCTTCAAGCATTCAGCGTATTTTCTCCTGCTACACATCTTGTTTCAAACTGCCTCTGTTAAACACTTTGGATAGTTTACTATATTAAAGCTGCTGTATAACTACAAATGTCGATGTTGTTATCCAAAGCACTGACCTATATTAACTGCAAGGTTCACCTAACTATGGAAGTTTGAGTAAGCAGGACCCTGATTGTCATTTCTGTCAGAACTGATCAAAGCCGGCATTTTAAACTCTGATCAGTTCCACAGGCTCTGAAACTGAGGCAGCCCAGCTCTTGTGATTCTTAAAGACGTTGTGTTGGTGCTAGAGTGTGTCTCAGGACTCTTAGGAATAATGTGAATCTCCACCTTCTACCATTGTCCCACACCATGAACCTATTTTACTTGATAGTCACCTCAGTCCAATTTCGGGTCCTCGATCCAGCGCACTGCGCCAGCGTGTTTGTTTAGTGGCTGTGAACTCACTGGTGAAATTGATCCTGGGGTCCTCTCTGCTGCTGGAAAGTTCAAAATGAGTAATGCATGCTTTCTGAGATAAAACACGGAGGAGGAATGCACTTTTGAAGCAAACAACAGAAACGGTAAATATGGGACTGTACCGGTGATTTGGGAGTAGGTGAGACCAAGTACCTAAGACTGGGCACGCAAATTTGTGGTTCCCTACACACTCTGACAATATAAAAAGAAAGCCCTTTAACTAACAACAGCAACTGAGGCTGGATCCAAAACTGGTTTAGTGCAAGGAAACGGAGGGCAGTGGTGAAAGGCTGTTTATGTGACTGGAGGGCAGTGTCCAGTTCCACACCAAGGATCAGTGCTGAGTCCCTTATTGTTTGAGACATATGCAAATAATATAGGAGAAAGAAATGTGGGGGGGAGGGAATGATAATAAAGTTTGTGGATGACATGAAGATTGGTGGGGGGGCATTGATGGTGAGGAAGGAGGGTTAACTTCAGAAGGATATAAACAGATTGGCCAGAAAGGCTGATCAGTCACAGATGGAATAAAACCCTGATAAGTGAGAGATGTTGCACTTTGGAAAAAATAACAAGAGAGGGGAGTATTCAATAAATGGCAGGACACTAGGAAGCTCGGAGGAACAAAGGGTTCTTGGGGTGCTTCTCCACAGACCCTAAAGGCGACAGGACAGGTTTATAGGGTAGTCAAGAAAGAACATGGGACATTTGCCTTTATCATTCATGCTTTAGATTATAAGAGCAGGGAGGTTATGTTGGAGTTGTACAGGATTTTGGTTATGCCACAGCTGGGCTGTGACTACACTATCAGAAGAATGTGTTTGAACTGGAGGAGATTCACCAGGATGTTGTCTGGGATGGAGCAGTTTAACTATGAAGAGAGGCTGGATAAGCTCAAGTTGTTTTCTTTAGAGCGGAGAAGGCTGAAGTGGGACCTGACAGAGATGTATAAGGTTATGAGGGGCATGGCAGGGTGAATAGAAAGCAGCTGCTTCCCTTAGTGAAAGGGTTAATAATAAAGGGGTATAATTTTATGGTGAAAGGGATTTGAGGAAAGCAAGTTTCACCTCGAGGGTAGTGAGAATCTGGAATACCCAGCCTGGGACGGTATTTGAGGTGGGCAATCTGGCCACCTTTAAACAGTACTTAGAGGAACACTTGAAATGTCATAATGTTCAAGGCTTTGGCCCAAATTCTAGAAAGTGGGGCGAATGTAGATTCGGAGTAGGTTTTTTTTGTCAGTGAACACTTGATGGGCTGAAGGGCCTCTTCAGTACCGTATGATTCTATGATTTAAATGCAACGGCAGCAATATGCAAAATCTGATTCATATCAGGAAAACACAGACCGAACTACATGCCAAACATA